TTAAAAGAAGTTTTTGTACGACTAAGGAAAGCTAGATTGAAGCTAAACAGCGAAAAATGCCATTTTTGCAGACCGAACCTAAAATATCTAGGACATATCATAGACAAAAAAGGCATACGAACCGATCCAGAAAAAACAAGCGCAGTAAATAACTGGCCAACACCCACAAAGGTTAAACACATTAGACAATTCCTGGGAATGGCCTCCTGGTACCGCAGGTTTATTAAAGAATTCTCGAAAATCGCCGCACCACTAACGAACCTAACGAAACAAAAAGTAAAATGGCATTGGGGACCAGAGGAGGAAAACGCTTTCCGCAGACTAAAGGAAACTTTAGTATCCGCACCTGTCCTCGCGTGCCCAGACTTCAATCTACAGTTCACAGTCCAAACAGATGCAAGCAAACAGGGCTTGGGAGTCGTACTCACGCAAAATTTCAAAGAGGGCGAACGAGTGATCGCATACGGGAGCCGAACACTAAATAACTGCGAGAAAAATTACAGCGCCACGGAACTAGAATGCCTCGCAGTAATCTGGGGCATCCGGAAAATGCGATGTTACCTCGAAGGGTATAACTTCACAGTTATGACGGACCACCAATCTCTAAAATGGTTGCAAAAGCTAGAATCGCCGTCAGGACGATTAGGAAGGTGGAAATTTGAGCTTCAACAGTACAACTTCGAGATCAAATATCGAAAAGGAAGCTCAAATAAAGTGGCAGACGCATTATCACGGCAACCCGAAATATCCGCCATAAAGACGGAGATAAAATGTAAATGGTACCGACAAAAATACAGCGACACAGAGGCACAACCACAAAAAGTACCAGATTACGAAATCCGTCAGGGCACGTTATACCGACACATTCTCCACAGCCTGGACTTTAAAGAGACACCAAGCAAAGAACAATGGAAAAGATGTATACCGCAAGAGGAAAGATTGGAGATCCTACATGCGTACCACGACGACCCAACGGCAGGACACCTGGGCACCGCAAAAACCATAAGCAGAATAGCACGGTTATATTACTGGCCAGGTATGTTCACAGAGATAAAAAGATATGTCCGAAACTGCCATAATTGCCAGGCACATAAGGCGTCACAAGCACACCCACTAGGACAAATGCACGCAACAAACGTACAACAACCATGGGAGCAAGTAGCATTAGATCTCATCGGACCATTACCGAGATCCACCAAAGGATATACATGGGTATTAACAATGCAGGACAGATATACAAAATGGCTCGAAATGAAGCCACTAAGAAAGGCAACCTCAACAGCGGTCTCACAAGCAATAACAGAAGAAATTGTTTACAGACACGGCTGTCCCAACACAATTGTCTCCGAAAACGGTACGCAATTTAAATCGGGAGATATGAAGAAACTGACGCAAGCACTGGGAATAAAACAGCGCTTGACACCAGTATGGACGCCACAATGCAATCCAGTAGAGCGAACAAACCGAACGATAAAAACGATGATTTCGCAATACGTGGGGAGCAATCACCGGAACTGGGACGCACACTTGAGTCAAATCAAGTTCGCGTTTAATACCGCAAAAAACGATAGCACAGGATTTACACCTGCCTATCTAAATACAGGGAGAGAACTAGCAGGTCCACACACGCTAGAAAGAGAGCAGGAATGCCCTCAAACTCCAAACGAAGTGCGTCAGAAATTGGAAGCAGCAAGAGAACTCGTCAACATTAACATGGCACGAGCACTCCAAAGGCAGGGGAAATACTACAATGTCAGGCGAAGGGATTGGAAACCAAAGATAGGAGACACTGTATGGAAAAGAAACCATATACTCTCCAACAAGGATAAGGCCCTGAACGCAAAACTCGCTCCAAAATACATCGGGCCAATGGTAGTGAAACGAATAATTTCACCGGTTATCGTCGACCTACAAGACAATAACAAGAAGTGGTTCAGACACGTACACGTACACGATATAAAAACCAACAACACCGAGACACGAAACAACGAACAGGAGAATCCGAAGACAGAAGAAGGAATATAGAGCAAAACGGGTATAAAAGGAGCACAAGCAAGGGACGAAAACGACAGTCTACATCATGGACGAAAACATAGAAGAGACGATGCAAACCATCTTAACCACGTGGAACGAGGCCGAAGCCCAGGCATTATGGGACAGCCTCCTACCTCCCAGGGAAAAGGGAAAAACTCCTCCACTACCACCAGGCAAGCGACCACCAGTAGACGCACCACCAAAAAGGAGGCCGGCAATTCCATGCGAGAAGACACCACCATCGGCGAGAATCGCAGAGAAAAAGCTGAAGATGTTGATGGGAGAAGAGGTACGCCCAACACCCGCGAGACGCCGACCTCAGGTCAACCCGGTGCTCTGGGGCCAGAGAACCAGAAACAATACGGCACAATCCGGGGATACAACACCACCAGAGAAAAATCAAACAGAAGACAGCCATAAAAAACCAGGCAAAACAACACCACCGGTATCCAACATTAAAATAGTCACGGACATAATTCTACCAGCAAACAAACACATAAAATTAGAAAGGACATCACAAATCAAAACACAACCAGCAACAACGATCACGCTCGACAACGGACGAATAATAGATATACCGTACCACACGGTGCACACAGCAAGAAGGTATCGCCGCTTCATAGACGGGGAGCTTTGGCGATTCCGCTTCGGTCCTACGGGCACACTCAAATACGCCCGAAGGGCCTAAAAGGCACGAAAAATAGGGACCGGAGGAACTCGGCGACCTCCGGTACCACTATGCCGACACCAGAGGTCAACCCGGCGACCACTGCGCAAACGACGACGAACAACCGTCACCAACACCAATCTTGTCGGCATAGACAAACCAGACGGAGAGGGGAGAAATCTCCAAGAAAAGGGGAGAAAAGCGCCAAAAACGAGGATAAAAGGAGCCGGTCTAGGAAGACCAGACACACTCTGCGGCGAACCGACACACGAGAGACACAGAGAGCTAGACACACACACAGCAAAGCCCGACTCACGCAAACTCCAGAGGATGAGCGTCAACAGGGAGATACTCCGGTGGCTGGACAACTGGCAACCGCCTCCGAGAAACGCCGCAACACCAGAGCGCTTGAACAACCCAGTTGAGCCAGCAAACGACCCAAGACAGGAAGACGCAACAACAGTCTTGACGATCACGACGGAAGACACAGTACCAGTACGGCCACAAACTCATCAACCACCACCACAACAGCGGACCGTAAGACTCCCGGACGGGAGACAATTCTCGAAACCGCGCCACGCATCCGCGAATTATATAAAATATCACGTAGAAATAGACGACGAAATATGGCGCATTCGGTTTTGGCCATCCGGCGCGGTGAAATCGGTCTACAAAGTGCCCGGGACGTGCACCTAGTCACGCGGGGGGGTGATGTAACGAGCCGTTCGCAAAACAAATAGAACAAGAACCAGATTAACGATAATCAAACGACTCGTCACGAAACCGAACGCGACAAACCGATGTAAACATCACCGACCGACCGCAAAGATCACAACATAATAGCATGTTAAAAGTAGTATAAAAGACCGCACGAAAAGCTCAGCGAAGAGCAGTCTTCCGAGGCACTCCGCTGAACAGAGCTCAGACTCCGACAGCACTAGCACCTCG